ATGATTCCAATTCCCTCCATGTACCATCAGTTAATAGTATTTGCCTCTTTTTTTTTTTTTTAACTACACAAAAACACACAGGAATATATAATCATTTAAACACCAAAGAGCACATTTTGAAAGCCAGCCTCCTGCTGCTGTCAGCACACACTCTTTCAATGTCTATGAGTTTAGAGTCCTCAGACGCTCTACCTCTCCCTGGCATCATCTCTAGTGTCGCTACTTCTCTGGTTAGGATCACATGTTCCATTCATACTCTCCCTGCCCGAGGGTCCTAGGGTCCTCTGTTTCTGGAATGTGAGAGTAAACTACTTCCCCGCTTTTTTTTTTTTTTTTTTTTAACACATCTTCTACCTTTACAGTTATAATCATCAACTTTTTACAGAAAGGAAAAGAGACCTTCTTGGATACGCAAAGCACTACTACAGAAGAACTAAGTAGGAGGTCTCACATGCCTAATCTCAAACAAAACCTACTATGCAGACACAGTAGTCAAAACAGTCTGGTATTGTTACAACAACAGACCCATACACCAAAGGAAAGGAGCTCTGGTAGTGTAGAGGTTACAAATCAGTTTGCTAACCTCAGAGTCAGCAGTTCAAAACTACCAGCTGTTCGTGGGAGAAAGATGAGGCTTTCTGATCTTTACAACCTTGGAAAGCCTGTACAGTGTCACTGTGAGTTGGAACCAACTCCATGGCACATAACAACAACAACTCTAAAGGAACAGAACTTAGAATCCAGAAATAAACCCAACCATTACGCACAGTTGATTTCTGACAAAGGACCAAACCTATAAAATAGGGAAGAAACAGTCTCTTTAACAAATAGTGCTGGTGTATCTAGATAGACATTTGCAGAAAAATGAAACAAAATCTTCATCTCTCACCATATACAAAAACTTAAGTGCAAAACCTAAAACTATAAAGATTATCAAAGAAAGAATACAGGCAAACTTAAGGTCCTTAGTACATGGCATAAATACACTATCAAACATAACTAAAAAGACACAAACAGCAGAACATAAATTAAGACGACTGGGGCCAACTAAAAATTTAACATTTATGCATATCAAAAGAATTCACCAAAATATCCAGGCTGGAAAAAGCTTTCATCAACAACATATTTAGAAGGGGAGAATCTCTAAAATTTATAGAAAATTTCAATAGCTAAATAACAAAAACACAAACAAACTCAATTTTAAAAATGGGCAGATACTTTACCTAAGAGACATTAGGCAACTAACACACACATCAAAAATTGTTCAATATCATTAGTCATTGCTGTTCTTTATGCCATCAAGTTTGTCCTACTCATAGCGACCCTGTATAGGATTTCCAAAGAGCGACTACTGACCCTGTAGTTAAAAGTCCAGTGCTTATTCTACAACACCACACCAAGATTAGTCTTTGTTGTTAAGTGCCTTTGAGTTGGTTCTGACCCAGAGCGACCCTGTAAAGGGTTTCTGAAGAGTAGCTGGTGAGCTTAAACTACCAACCTTGCAATTCAAACTGGTTTTACAGTCCAGTTCATTAACCCACAGTGCCACACCAGAGTAGCCACTGTTGTTATTGTTACGTTCCATCGACTTGGTTCATATTATCATTAACAGATACAAATCAAACCTACAATAAGGCATCATTTCACTCCAGCAATAATGGCACTGATTAAAAAACCGATAATAACAAATGTTGGTTATGCTTTGGGGAGAATGGAACTCTTATAATGACACATAAAATGGTACAATCATCATGGAAAACTATTACGTTTCTTTAAGAAGTTTGAAATAGAAACACCGTATGACCCAGAAACTCCACTCCTAGGTACAGTATAGAGAATTGGTACAAACATACACACAACATTCAGGTCCACTGCAGCATTATTCACAACATCGAAAAGATGGAAACAACCTAAATGTCCAACACTGTGGTACATATATACAATGGAATGTTACTCAGAGATAAAGAATAATAATAAATCTGTGAAACATTGCAAAAGATTGATTAATCTGGAGGACATTATGATGAATGAAATAAGTCAATTAAAAAAAAATCAATGTTGTTTGAGAGCATTATTTTTTTCTATAGCTTTACTTTGAAGTGAGAGACGGTTTACATGGCAAAATATCGGTTTTGCACTCAACTAAGTGCATTTTGTTTCATTGCAATGATTACAATCACCTTCATGCACCACTGGTTAATAGTGTTTACCTCTATTCTCCCCACCCCCACCCTTTTTTTTTTTTATGTATCCAAAAACATACAGGAATATAGAATCACTTAAACAACCAAAGGGCATATTTTGCAAGCCAGTCTCCTGCCTGCCAGCACAAAGCCTTTCTCTTTCAATGTAGGAGATCATTACTGTAAAAGGCAAAAAAAGGTTTTCACACTAAAAGAAACATTCTCAGAAGTCACTAAGGCCAGTTAGCATAACATAGTTCACAAAGACAATGTTCTCCATTCACTTTGGTGAATAAGTAACTGGCATCTTAAATGTTTAAGAGCCGTCATCTAAGGTAAAGCTATTGGTCTTTTCCTGGGTAAAGGAAAGAAGAGTGAAGAAAATTCAAGATACCTAGAAACAATTAGTCAAATGGACGATGTGAACATTAGCTTCCATGACTCTGAGACCAGAAGAATTAGATGGTACCTAGCTGCTACTACTACTAACTGCTCTGGAAGGGATCCATTAGAAGGTGTGGAAGAAAATGTGGAACAAAGACAATATTCTAAACACTGGGAGCTATGACCCTAATTCATCCTTCAGATCTGAAAAGGAATTCACACCTACTGCTCAGTTTTCAGCCAAATAATAGACAAGTCTATAAGGGGAAAAATAACAATAGTGAAGTATGCACACCTTAAAAATAATCAACCATTTGAGATTACAAGGACAGCATTTAACCCAGGACAAAGTTCAGAAAGATTAGGAGAAGGAGGAACAGAAACAGGAAACACAGGGGGGAAGTGAAATAAGTGATGTTATATTGTGGAGACTGTAATCAATGAAATGAATCAAAATGTGTATGAAATGCTCAACAGAAAACTAATCTTCACCCAATTCACAATAAAAAGTTAAATAAAAAAATTACTCAAGCACAAAGGGACAGAAGCACATTATTTAATGAGACAACTATTATTTGTGGAGTTCAAGTTCGCTAGTTGCTCCATGGGAGAAATATGAGATTTTCTGCTCCCTCGAAGATTGAAAGCCTCAAAAATCCTATTCGGGGTTGCTATAATTCAGAACAGACTCAAAGGCACTTAATAACTACAACATTACTTGAAAGTCAAGAATAAGTTTAAACACAAAACACAAACACTCGTTGATAATTACCAGGAATGGGGGAGGAGGGGAGGGATCACTAACTACACAGTCCACAATTCACAAGTGTTAATTAATTATACAGTGAAATGAAAGGCAATATACGATATCAGGGAAAACTGTACAACATTACCAAAGCAAATGAAGACACTGAGGAGGACCACTAGAAGGCGGACACTAGAAGGCATGGTGCTGTAAGATAAACACTGGACTGCTAGATGTTACACTGGTGATTCAAACTCACCAGTCACTCCCTGAAAACACTATACAGTGTGCTGTGTTAAGTCTCTGAGTCGGAAAAAAAACTCTATGGTACTTAGCAACAGAAACATGGTAAATGGTGTAACAAGGAATCCTGCAAAAAGAGTTAATAACAAACAATAATTTGCAAGTAAATACAGAGGTAAAAGAGTATGTTAGTAGGTGAGAAAGTTGTATGGAAGTTCACCCACATACATGAATATAAGTGTGGCTGTGGATATTTCTATATATGAATTCATAAATGCCATATGTATATTGAGCACTTGTGTGGCAATGATGGATAAGCACTGGACTGCTAACTGCAAGGTCGATCGTTTAAACCCATCAGCTGCTCTTGGAAACACTATACAGAGTTTCTATGAGTTGGAACTGACTCAACAGCACACAACTAGGATGCATATTAATATACATAACTGAGCATATAGGGACACAGGTATAGACACTACTTAGACATTGAGACTTAGACTTGAAGGCTAAAGACCATACTCTCAGGGGACACCTAGGTCAACTGGCAAAAAACACAGTTCATAAATACAACTTTCTACATGCTAACCTGGTGAGTAGCATCTGGGGTCTTGGAATCTAGTGAGTAGTCCTCTAAGAAGCAACTATTGGCCTTTTCCCGCCTGGAACATAGGAAAATGAAGAAAACCAAAGATTCAAAGAAGCAATTAGTTCAAAGGAATAATGGCCCACACAAACCACAGCTTCTCCTAAATTGAGACCAGAAGAATTAGATACCCAGCTATCTCTACTGACCACTCTGACCAGGACCAGAATAGAAGGTCACAGTTGAAATGGGTAAAATATGTAGAACAAAATTAAAAAGCAAACAACACTGGTCTGAAAGAGAGTGGAGTGTTCCCAAAGACTTTTGCCCTAAGACAATTCCCAGAAGTCACCATTCAGCCAAATAACACACAGGCCTATATAAAATAAACAGCAGCGCCTGGGAAGAATGTCAAGTCCTGGTGTGGTGCTGTGGGTTAATGCACTGGACTGCAAGGTTGGCGGTTCAAGTTCACCAGCTGCTCCTCGGAAACCCTATATAGGGTTGTTATGAATTGGAACCGACTCTATGGCGTTTAACAACAACAACATATGAAATAAACAGTAGTACATGAGTAGAATGTGTGCCATGGAACAATCAACCATACAAAGGGTAATATTTGCCCCAAACCAGAGAAGACAAGACAGGAAGGGTTAGAGAAACTGGATGAAGAGAAACAGAGAAGCAAGTCAGGAAAAAAAGAGAGCATTAATAATACATTACAGATTGCAACCAATGTTGTGGAAGAATGTGTGTATGAATGATTGATTGAAAAACTGATTTGCTACGTAAACTTGCACCTAAAGCAAAATAAAATGTTAAAAAAAAAAAAATCAGTAAGGTCAGCCTCAAGACATCTCACCTGACATGGTGGTGTGGGTCTTGGCACCACCAAGCTCCTCCTGGGTAACATTCTCATTGGTAACTGACTTCACAACATCAGGGCCAGTGATGAACAGATAGGAAGTATCCTGAAATCAGAGATTTCCACAATGGTCATCAGAGCTAGATGGAGGCTAAGAATTCCTACAGCCAAGGAGACAAATGCAGAAAAAGTAGTGACATGGTGGCAGAACCAGACAGCTCAAATGAATGGACACGTTTTACAATGTCTATCTAAAATAAAACCCTTTGTTATATGCCCAATTCAGCATCTGACTCAAAGTAGTTCTAATATTTCAGTCATTCATATGTAGAACAAGGTAATGATATCGTTGTTAAGTGTCATTGAGTCAGTTCTGACTCATAGTGACCCAGTATAGGGTTTTCAAGGAGCAGCTGGTGGATTTGAAATGCTGACTTTTTTGTTAGCAGTCCAGTGCTTATC